GGGTACACCGAAAAATCCATTGCCAAACATCATCAAAAAAATGTACCGTTCGAAAGTTCTAAAAAAAAAAGGCGCGTGAAGCGCATGCGAAACAGCGGGCTCACGAACCTCTTCGTGCTAGCCCTCGACTACGACTCCCGTCTACGACAAATCCACCCCCCGCTCACCCCCCCCCCCCCCCCCCCCCCCCCCCCCCCCCCCCCAAACCCCCATCAGACAAGGACCGAATCCATCGACGACTCCACTTCATTGCGCGGGAAAACAAACTTCTTGGCCACTAGGACAATGAAGAGCCAAAATACGAAAAGACGAACGCAAAGGACGAGTACTACATCAGCGATCCCGTCGCACTCCCGCTGCGCGACAGACTGGACCTATACAGCGTCGTCGAATACAAGAACAAACACCTGAAAAGAATCCGACCACGACGACACGATTTCAACGGGACGAACAGGTAGGCGGCTGGGTGGATCAAACGTGTTTCATCCGCTGCGCCAGTGCATTGCGGAGCGCATGAGCCTCGCGCGTCGAAGTCAACATGGACACTGGCTGCGGGGGGCGATGAATCCCCAGGTCCACTCGCCGCCTCACCCCGTTCGCGTCGACCTCCCACAACAAATTCTCGTCCAACTCGATTCTTACATCGAGCAGGATGTTGTGGAGAATGCATACCACCGTGAACTGCTGCGGCAGACTCTCGAGGTTCGTCTTGTGCGTCCGCAGGAAGAGCCTCCACATCCCTTTCAACCTGCCGAACGCCCTCTCCACGGCCCCTCTTGCGACCTTCTGTTTCGTGTCAAACCTTTCCTCGTCCAGGTGCTGATTGATTCCTCCGTACGGCACCACCACCCACTTAGAAGGAGGATACCCGTTGTCGCCCAAGATGTATCAGTTCGTCATCACCCCTCCCGGCAGCGTCACAGGCGGCCCACGAAACAGCAATCCCTTTTTCGCGCGCCTCGACAGACTTGACAGCTGTATCACCCTAATGTCGTGGCAGCTACCCGGATATCCCACGAACACATCAAGGACGCGCAGATCCAGGTCCACCACAACCTGCGCAATGACGAAAAAACGGTGCTTGCGGTTGAAGTAGTTCTCACTAAGCGCGTTCGCCGGTTTGTCCACGTACTCTGTATCTTTTGAACGGAGAACGGGCGAAATTCAACGCCCGTTCATCCGTTTAACGGGCCCCTGGACCCCCGTTAAATCCCGTTTAACGCAAAAACGGGGGCTTGGCGTTGAATTCCGAAAAACGGAATTCACGCTTTGGGCCTCGGACACGTGTGCCTACGTGCCCGAACACTAAAACCAGAAAAAAAATAAAAAAATTCACCCCCCCATTGACACCCCCCCCCAAACACCCCTAAAGGACCGAAAAACCCCTATCTGACCCCGAACACACCACCCGGCCCCCTTCCCCCGACCTGCACATTCCCACCACGACCCCCAACCCCCACTGCACCTCACTGCCCTCAGTGCCCTCACACCCACCCCCGAACAACGGACACTACCCCTACACCCCCAATACCCCCAAC